TCATCTTCACCTCTAGACTTTCAACCACTTCATGCAATCTAGGAGTAGCAGCAGTGGAAGCTTGAGAACCAACTTTCTCCTGGATATCCTCTACGTGTTCTGAAATATCAACCATAATCTTCTTGAAACTCTTTTGAGAGAGCTTCAACTCTCTAATTTCATATTGAGCTGCAATTAAAGTAGAGCTCTGTACCTTGAACTCTGCACATAGTAGTTTCAACTCTTCCAAAACCGTTTGCAACAGATTGAGTATGAAATTGTCTTGAGACGCCATCCAAAAGCTCAAAACTCCAAGGCACGTCAACTTCTCGCTCCGAATGGCATTCTGCTTGAAATTTTGCAAGCTGATGCGCCCTGCCCTACTCCAGCGTTCCACCAAATTTCAGCTCCAAATCACTCTGAACGTAGAAGATACAGCTCCCGTAAGAATCTCTTGCCCTCAAATCTTGAAACTCAAAGCTCGAAACTCAAAATTGGACGCACTGTGACTCTGAAACTCCGTTCGACCTGAAAATTGACACGCTTGAGCGCTCTACCCAACGTCACAACGCCACAAAATTTAAGCCCCCGTTCACACTCGAGCCCAAAGGAGCGGCTCCTGCAAGATTTGGCCCTCCCCTCTCAAAAAGCTCAGACCTCCAAGACACGTCAACTTCTTGCTCCGAATGGCGTTCTGCTTGAAATTTTGCAAGCTGATGCGCCTTGCCCTACTCCAGCGTTCCACCAAATTTCAGCTCCAGATCACTCCGAACGTAGAAGATACAGCTCCCGTAAGAATCTCTTGCCCTCAAATCTTGAAACTCAAAGCTCGAAACTCAAAATTGGACGCACTGTGACTTTGAAACTCCGTTCGACCTGAAAATTGACACGCTTGAGCGCTCTACCCAACGTCACAACGCCACAAAATTTCAGCCCCCGTTCACACTCGAGCCCAAAGTAGCGGCCCCTGCAAGATTCGGCCCTCCCCTCTAAAAAAGCTCAGACCTCCAAGACACGTCAACTTCTCGCTCCGAATGGCGGTCTGCTTGAAATTTTGCAAGCTGATGCGCCCTGCCCTACTCCAGCGTTCCACCAAGTTTCAGCTCCAGATCACTCCGAACGTAGAAGATACAGCTCCCGTAAGAATCTCTTGCCCTCAAATCTTGAAACTCAAAGCTCGAAACTCAAAATTGGACGCACTGTGACTTTGAAACTCCGTTCGACCTGAAAATTGACACGCTTGAGCACTCAACCCAACGTCACAACGCCACAAAATTTCAGCCCCCGTTCACACTTGAGCCCAAAGGAGCGGACCCTGCAAGATTCGGCCCTCCCCTTTCAAAAAGCTCAGACCTCCAAGACACGTCAACTTCTCGCTCCAAATGGCGGTCTGCTTGAAATTTTGCAGGCTGATGCGCCCTGCTCTACTCCAGCGTTCCATGAAATTTCAGCTCCAGATCACTCCGAACGTAGAAGATACAGCTCCCGTAAGAATCTCTTGCCCTCAAATCTTGAAACTCAAAGCTCGAAACTCAAAATTGGACGCATTGTGACTTTGAAACTCCGTTCGACCTGAAAATTGACACGCTTGAGCGCTCTACCCAACGTCACAACGCCACAAAATTTAAGCCCCCGTTCACACTCGAGCTCAAAGTTACGGCCCCTGCAAGATTCGGCCCTCCCCTCTCAAAAAGCTCAGACCTCCAAGACACGTCAACTTCTCGCTCCGAATGGCGTTCTGCTTGAAATTTTGCAAGCTGATGCGCCCTGCCCTACTCCAGCGTTCCACCAAGTTTCAGCTCCAGATCACTCCGAACGTAGAAGATACAGCTCCCGTAAGAATCTCTTGCCCTCAAATCTTGAAACTCAAAGCTCAAAACTCAAAATTGGACGCACTGTGACTCTGAAACTCCGTTCGATCTGAAAATTGACACGCTTGAGCGCTCTACCCAACGTCACAACGCCACAAAATTTCAGCCCCCGTTCACACTCGAGCTCAAAGTTACGGCCCCTGCAAGATTTGGCGTCCCCTCTCAAAAAGCTCAGACCTCCAAGACACGTCAACTTCTCGCTCCGAATGGCGGTCTGCTTGAAATTTTGCAGGCTGATGCGCCCTGCTCTACTCCAGCGTTCCACCAAATTTCAGCTCCAGATCACTCCGAACGTAGAAGATACAGCTCCCGTAAGAATCTCTTGCCCTCAAATCTTGAAACTCAAAGCTCAAAACTCAAAATTGGACGCACTGTGACTCTTATGTGAAAAAGTGAAACACATCAACAACATGTATTATCTTATTAGAGTTGTCATTTTTTATAATAGTAGTGAACTAATCAACATTGATGGTAATTTAATAAAGTTGATTCATGCATCAACTTGATTGAATTTAATGTTCTCTAAAGTAATATCTGTGATACAGTGAACTAGAACTTTTTAACATACTTTGTGTTACTGTGGAGATTTTGCATGAGGAGTATGAATGAAATTTACTAACAAATTTTTAATACATTTATATATTTTTACTCCATATTGTTTTTGTATTCCATATTTAACTATAGTTTAAAGATTAACATATATTAGGTTTTTTCTAGAACTTACAATATAATAATTAGATGGCTTAGGGAAATAACTGTTTTTGAAATATGGATTGAGTGCAAAATTGTTAGGTATAATTTTAATCGGCTGGTCTAAAAAAATTTCAATCTAGAATTTATTAGTTATGTTTGTTTGGACTACAAAGATTGGCAAAACATAGTTTGTCCGAAAGCATTGTATTAGTTCTTCAAGAAATTGTTATATTGCGTGAATGTAGCGAGAGTCAAACCTTGTATCTTCACAGTTGTATCCGGTTGTATGTTGTGTGTATCATGCTATTTTATGTGTATTTTTTGATATATTTAATTTACAAAAATATTTTTTTAAAAACATTGTTTTAAATGAAGATTTGTATCTAATAAGAATATCAAATATTATTTCATATCTTTAATTGAATGCCTAATTTTACTAATATAGAATACATTTATAGCTATTAACAATTTTTCCAAATAAATTATTGATCATTATTTGAATATATATATAATAAAAAATTGCAAAATAAATATTTAATAAAATAAATTTTTTGTAAAACTGAAATATAACATACAAACATTTGTTTTATATATGTTTCTTAAATCAAACATTTACATGAAATAACTTAATACATTGTTATTTTATAATTTAAAAAACTATCAGTGGATTTTGTGATGTAACATTTTTATTTTCATGAATTTAAAAAATAAATTTTCATGCAATTATGCCGAATTTAATTAATATATTTATGAGTAATTTGATGATAATAAATATTATATTTTGATAAACATATGATAAAAAAATTGTATGACATGTAAATTATTATCATAAATTTTTCGAAATGATTGCCAAAGATTTAAAAATAGATTGTTTTCATGAAATTTTTTATCAACTTATTTGAATTTTCATGATCAATTTATTATTTTTTTTAAACTTATAATTATATTTTTTTGTATCATATAAAAAAAATAAATATTTGGTGATATTTATGTATAAAAATTCATAGATAACTCAAAATTAAAAATTAAAAATAAATTAAAAATTAAAAATAAGTATTCATACAAAATTTAAAAATATTGGGAATTTCTGAAATATCATATATTCTCATCAAAACTATTTTGAATTGAAAACATAATAAATTATGTTTTATATCACATTTAAATAAAATTTTAAATGTATGATGTATCTTTTCTTGTAATATTAAGTAAAAATATCTCTATTCGCTTGCTTCAACAAGGAATATTTCATAAAATGTAAATTTTAATCAAAAAAATTGAACTTTTGTGCTTAATATATATAAAACATAGTAAGAAAATTTTCTTGTGACATTAAATTTTTTATTTTTCATAGATTTAGTAAAAACAGTTTGAAATGTGAATTTGTTCATTGGAAATTACATTCTAAAGATCCTTAGTGATAATCTTTTTATATATAAAATTATGTTCATAATTTGGTTTAGTACTTACATATTTTATCTTGAATTCAAACTTCACATATTGTTTTCTATCAAAAGGATTTTAAAGTTTTGCAATCTCTACTCATTTTTTCTTCAAATTCTTGAATCACGTTCACAACTTAATTATAATATGTGAACATATTCACAATATTTGAAGACAAAACAAGGATTTAATCATTAGGTATTTCTCTCATATTCGTATTCCAGTGTATTCTCATCTTACACCACGGAATATGATGGCTCAGATTCAATCATTGATTTTTTGTGCTCCTGCTAAAAAGCAGTAAATAAATCTATGTACAAAGCAAGCGCATCTGTTTGTAATAGATCCTTACGTACACAAATACAGTAATTAATAATATGCACCATGGCTAAATTGGGATGTCAGGAACTTGTTATATGTCTTAAATGAATAATAAATAATTAAATTTTAATTTACTTATTAATTAATTATATTGTTTATCTCACCAGAATATGCAACCATCAAACTCCTCCTTTCTTTGTTGTAAAGCATACTAGTAGACTAAAACCATACAAGCCTTCGCTATTTTGCCATAGCATAGCAGGGAAGTAAGCATGATTAACATAAGCGTTTATGGATCTTCATAATCCAAAAGTATGTCACTTACCTATTTTGAAACTCCCCAACATCACCAATGCTTTATTTCTGGTAAGCGTAGCATTTGAATGAATCAATGCACATTTTCAGAGGTTGAGTTTCTGGAATCCGCATTAGTCGAACTGAATATTTTTATTTGCGCTGGCTTCTACATTCTTCATGCGAATAGAAGACAGTTCAGCGGCACGGTGTTGGAGGTGGTGGACGTCCAACGGGCAGTTGATTAGGAGAACGTTAGGGTTGAATCAACGCTTGATTAGCCGGGAAACTCGATATTCAGTTACTAATCGTGGACAATTACCATTTAGTCAAGCGAGAGAAGCTAACCACGATATTTGTAACCGGAGAAAACAAGCGGGAATCGCTGATCGGAATTATTAGTCCTTCGGAAGGAAACGCGCGAGTGCGTGGGCGAACTCGAGACGCCTTTCCGTCTTTCTTTGTTGTTTTTTCCAACGCTCGCCCGAGCGCCAGCTTTTCCGCTTCGCCCTTGCGGCCACGGGATCCCTACCGTGAGAGGGACGGAGCAATTTCCTCGAGAGAAAGCGAGGGTCGTTGACACCTGCTCACGACAGCTTTTCGGAAGCTCGTCCGGAGCAATTTTGTTTGACGAACTAGGGGAGAGATTGGAATTACCTCCGTAGCAGTTGTCGTCGTTGGCATGTGAGGAAAGGAGAGCACCAAGAGACATAGAGAGTTCGTGAACTAGTCAGGAGAATCCGTGGTGATGGCGAAGCCGGCGGCAAAGGCGAAGTCGTCGAAGTCGCCGTCTCCCTCAGGTTCATCGGGGTCGTCTTCGTATTCGGGTTCTTCATCAGCCTCAGGATCTCGGTCCAGATCGCTCTCTTCCTCTTCTCATTCCGGCAGTAGCTCAAGGAGTCGTAGCCCTCCTCCAAAGAAAAGGTCCCTTCGCATTACGCCCTTTAGTTGGTGTGAAGTGTTAGGGCCCTGCGGTCTCACACCTGTCTTATTTGTGTCGAAGATGAGATAGTACGAGGAATAGTGGGCCGCCTTGTGTGTGTTTGTGTGTGTGTGTGTGTGTTTTTTTTTTCCAGTCATCTTCGTGCAGACTTTTTGGTCTCTCTCCTTTGTTTTTAATTTTATTTTTGGCCTGTGGTTTAGCGTCAGTTTCCACCGTTGTGATCATGAAACCTCTTCATGCAGCAATATTTGTACCTACGAAAGACTCTGACATGTCTTCGTGTTGGTGTTCGTGCAGTGACTCCGTGCCTGGCGGAAGAAAATTGCGCTCTGTGTCTCCTCCGGCAAAGAAAGCCTCTCCTGCGAAGTAAGAAAATAGTAGGTCTTGTTTCTACAGTTTTTCGTTGAACGGACCTATTGTTTCCACATGACGCTGATCACCAAATGTATGTGCTTGTTTAACATGAGCCAATAACAATGCAGTTTAAAAATACATGTTTCGAATCTCGTAAGAGTATTCAATTCTGATTAGATGTGTTAGTCACAAATGGCTTTAACAACAAGCCGTTTTTACTTTCATTTCTGAGTGCCTTTGTTGATTTTTCGTAGAAAATTGCGAACACCGACTCCGGAGTCTACCGTACTGCACATTGGGTGCCTTACTCGCAATGTGAACGAGGCGCACCTGAGAGAAATTTTTGGTACCTTATTCGTACACCTTTTATACTTCGTCAGTTTCTTTGATTCAAGCTGAAATCTTAGCGCGAAATTGGAGGTGCTTCTCTGATGTTAGTTGGAGGAAGGTTTTAGGATCAGAGAATAATATCTAGTACTGAGTCATCTGTGTCACTAAGTCTGGAAAATCAAAAGTGGTTGTGGTCATCGTTTTCATAAACCATCTCTCCTGTGCAGGTAACTATGGGGACATTGTCAACGTGGAGCTTGCTATGGACCGCTCGGTAATCACAACTAACCTATGTTCACTACTTTTCATTTTTGTAGTCCTAGGCGAGGCTAGGGTTGTTGGATTATTTATCTACTCAGAGGATTCCGAGGTCAAATCTACAACAGATTGGGTGGGTGTTCAGACCAGTGGGCAGTTTGACACGGGAATGGCTTTTGAAATAGAGCTATCGTTTATGAGATGCTTGGGAAAAGGAAAAGCATTGTAGAAGCTATTTTCGTTTTGTTGGGGTTTTTTTGGATGAGAATTAGGGACGAAGAATCGCATTGGAGCTGAATGTATTTCACGTTGTATGAATAGTTTTTCCATGTCAGGGCTAATCGCTTTAGTTGTCGCTTAATACCTCTGAGCTTCGGTCGCCTAATGTATTTTAGAAGGGAAGGGTATTTTCGCGTCAGCATCAGATGTTTGTTTTAGTACCTGGACCCTCTTCACTTTTTTCAATATAGGTTGCAGATTTCTTGTCTAGCTGAGGAAGTAAACTGTTTCTCAATCACACATCACTGTCAAGTTGGATGTGCGATTGTAGGTCTACATTTTGAGACCTACAATTTGACTCCATGATTCTTACCTAAAGTCTTGAGTAGTGAATGACTTCAAGTGCATAGTGTGCTTAGCACACTATCCCACATTAGATTGGTTTTTTTTGGTGTCATTGGTGCAGTATGTTTTTGCGAATCTTTTCTTAAGCTGCACAACATCAAGCCCAAAGTTGCCACTGGAGTTGAAACTTGGATTCGAAGCTAAACTATAAGTCACATCAACGGCTGCACGGTGGCCTTTAGATAAACTTATTGTTCTGTAGGCGCACTAACGTTTGTTTAGTTGGAATACTGTAGACTGTACACAATGAAGTACAAGCATTTTTAAGTACGTGGGTGACGAACTAGTAGTAGTGCGTGCTACCAAACATAACTTGTCAAGTGATAATTTTCCATCGCATGGACTTTGTAAGTACTATGTAAGCAAGTCCAGGTGGTCTCTTTATGGAAATTGATTTGGATCAAAGAAGGTGGGTTCGAAGGTTACGCCTAATATGTCTGCTTCTAGGTTGGTCACAATCTTGATGTCGTTTGCTCATAACAGGTCAATTTGCCGAAAGGATTTGGGTATGTCGAGTTCAAGTCAAGGGTGGATGCTGAGAAAGCACAACAACATATGGATGGAGTACTTTCCGGAGACCTGCATTTCCGTGTGTTTCGTTTTTTAATTAGTTATCTTCTGCTGTATTACTGTCGGGTGTGCGTTCTTTCTATCTGTAATGCTGATGCTCTACACAAAGAAAGTTCTCGCTTGTAGAAATTGCCGGGATATGACAAAAAGCAAATTTTTTTTCTGCATTGTGTTTCATGCGCCTAACAGTATGATCTCTTTCTGGTTGTGCAGGGCCAGATTGATGGAAATGTAGTTAGTGCGCAATTCATCCTTGTGCCTCGCAAGAAACCCTCACCACCTTCTCGACCTGCACCCTCACCATTGAGGAAGGACAATGCTCGCGAGCCTCTTTCTCGAGACCCCCTTAAGGACGGAGGCCCACGTCGTGGACGTGACTGTACGATTCTCTCTGCACTCTTCAATTCTTGCATCATCTTTGACCATATCGCCACCAGCATTCTCGGAGTGCTACTTGAGCCCACCAGGACTGCCTCTTAATTAGATACCACCTGATTCAAAAGTAGTTTAGTTAGAAACAGTAAGCTTAGTTTCGGTTTGCAAGGATGTTATTGTCTTGTAACACAATAAACTTGATTAACTTTGACTTCATAACTACCTCCATTGCAGCTCCTCCAATGGGTCGGCGGCGTTCTCCTTCACCACCACCCAGGAGAAGATCCATTTCTCCTCGGAGAGGGGCGAGAGGAGCGGATTCTCCGCCACGAAGGCGGCCGCAAGGATCTCCTCTTCGTAGGGGCCGCTCCCCTTCACCAATGAGACGGAGGCGCCGTTCTCCTATCAGGTAAGGTTCAGGTTATCAGAAAGGCTGTTCATCTACCAAAAATCTTGTGATCTAGTCGTAATAGAATGTTCACAGCTGTCGTCTCAACTGTATTGACCATCTGCAGCATCAAAAGGCTTGTACTTCCATGGGTACTGCTGATAACAGTTTCGTTCCATGAATTACTAGGTCTCCGCCACCGCGGCGAGGAAGAAGCCCAGTGGGACGGATGCGCTCACCCGTTTCCTACAGGCGCAGGTATGTTCTCCAAGATGACGTACATGAGTCAGCTCGAACAGCAACGAGCACCTGTTTATTTTTTCCCAGTTCAATCGATTCTTGGTTACGACTGAAGTCACCTATTGAAATATTGTCTTATCCACTGGTAACCCCGTACTCATCAAGCTTTGTTTTCTGAGCAGGTCTCCATTACCTCCCAGACGTGGTGGGCGCACTCCTCCTCGAAGGTCTTCTCCTCTGGTTCGAAGGCGTAGCCGCTCTCCTCCCAGACGCCCTGTGCGATCACGGTCGAGATCTCGATCTGCACCGCGAAGGTACATTTTTTCTGTTGTCACTCGCTTCGAGGATAGGAAAATACTTTTAACACGGCATATCGAAGAAGAGTATGAGAATGGTTGCTTCGCTTCTTTGCAGCCACTTATTGTACACCTTCTATGTGGGTTGTGAGTGTACTAATAGTGTACTCGACTTGCAAACAGGGCCAGGTCTCCACCCAATAGGCGAGCTAGATCTAGCTCATACTCGTCTGAGTCACCAAGTCCAGCAAAGAAGGTGAGCTTTTGGGTCTTGGATGTTCTGATTGCAATCTGGATCACCACTGATGTGTAGTTCTTTAGTCTTGATTATGGTTGATGATCTGTCAATTGGCAAGATATCAATTCAGGTTGATGTTGGGCAAAAATTCTTATCTCACTAATCGTGAAATTCTTAGAACTCTTGTTATCCTAACTTCTTGTCCATTCTTCCCTCATAGTTATTTGTTATTTTTATTCCCCCTAATGGAAACGCACCAACAGTCGGGAAGTTTCTAGACCTCGAACGACCTACGCACACGAAAGACAATCCTCGTGAAAATTCTGCTCTCTTTTGTTTGTTGTGTACTCCTATCAAAAAGAAGTTGGATTTCTTAGAGAAATTGCTTATAAGTGAGGATATCACCTTATATCAGTAGCGCAGTCAATATAAGAGGTTCCAATTTTGCATTGTTCCAGACAGTTTACTGGCCTATATTGAAGAGTATGTGTTTACTGTGTTCGTCATCTCTTCCCGTCTTCGATGATTGCCTAGCTAGTCTTAGGAGCTATGTGATGCAGGGAAGTAATAATTTTGTCTTGTTTCTTAGTACCTGTTTGTTGGTGTTCAAAATCCAGTGTTCGTCAAATGAATTTATTTTGCACGTAAAGCTGGTTGTCTTAATATTGTACAAGGATACGATGGATTTGTAGATATAGTGTAGTAGACTTTGTACAGTTGATGAGTTTGTTTGACTCGCTGTCTGGCTGCAGAGAGTTTCCCCTCCTCGTGTTGCCAAGAAGACAACGTCGAAGAGCCGAAGTCCCAAAAAGTGAGTTTTCCAACAAAGACGTCAGTTCGAGTTCAATTACTTCGGGTTGGCACACTACTAATCTGTCTTGACACTTCCATCGCAGGGCTGCAAGCGGTAGTAGTAGTCCAAGTGCTAGGAGCAGCAGTTCTCCTTCTCCTTCGAAAAGTGCTCAGTAAGTTGGAAGAAGGAACTCGCTTGGAAGTACGGAAATAATCTGCAGTGGAGTTTAAGTTTTAAATATTGGGCTGGTTTTTAATGCCGACCTCCTGGTTTGTCTAAATTCTCTGATTCGCGAACACTTTGTTTCACTATGCAGGGCACTACCCAAGGCAAAAGTGAGCCGGTAGTGGGTTTATTAAGCGCACGCGAGCAAACTTTATCTGTGCCACCTCCACATGCTCTGCCTGTTTGTGAGAGCTATGGATAGGTCTCCAACATACCACGCTTGCATATTTGTCTGTCCTTTCGCTTTCTTGACTGCTTTCTTGTTGTCTTGACGCTTGGGTTCTCGGTCAGTGGTGGTGTGGGAAGTAGTAGTTGTCGTTCATGGATGTCCATAGTCTGGTGTTTTCGCTGTAGAGTACGTGTGTGCTGCCTTGTAGAAGTCTGCATCTCATACCTGGTGTGAAGCTTTTGGTGTAGCAAGCATAGAAACCTGGTTGTTTGTTTCACCTCTGGATCTGGGCTTGCTGCATGGTCCGTATGTATTTCCTCAGGCAGCTGAGCAGCAGCAGTTGGTCCTCTCTTGCGTTCATCAACGGGAGACTTAGTGTGCCTCTGCGTTCGCTGCTATACTGTCGCCATACCCAAAGACTGGAAGTGAGGCAAAGGGAGTAGTCGGGCCGAGATCTGGGCGAACAGTCTGTAGATGTGATGGGCTGGTGATGAGCTCCAAGTTTTGGAAGTATGTACGTGAACAATTTTGAAGTGTAGGCACATCTGGAGGGGAATTCTTAGATTGAGATCATGGAAGAGCCACGGGTAACGAAGTAGTGAGTATCGGACGTCGGTGGAAGTGGAGAACTATGCCGCATATGCTTTTTGCCCTATCTGTACTTCAGATTTTGTCGGATTTGGAGTGCAAGGATCCTACGTTAAGGGTGAAACTACGGTAGTACCAAACTTTTTACTGTTCTCATCCTGGGCTGTACATGTCCTGGGAGACACTTTGTGCCCTATTCTTGTATTTTATATCGAGGTCACTTCTGGTTAGCAGAACATTACCCCAAGATTCAGTCTACTATGGGTCGTGGCATGTATCTTACCTTATGTCTTTGAATTATGCCTTCTGCTTTGTTCTGTCGGGCGCTACATGAGCACCATTCTCACTTCACTTATTGGTGTGTGTTTTGTGTACCGGAGCAGTCTCGCATGATAGTTATCACAGTAATCAAATTTCGCAAGGGGTTTCCTTTTATACGCCGATTTAATCACATCACTTGGATTTGTCTCACAGTTGGATGCATCTCGACAAATATGTTAAAATATGCTCTTCCAAGACGATGACTCCTACATGACCAGTCATCAGTGATGACGTAGAACATTTGTCAACATGTATTTAAAAACTCTGATTGATGACAATTGAGAAGAAACTTACGGGATGAAAAGTGTCAACGACTATGTAAAGAACCTTCCAACATATGGAGGCTTTTGAAGCCCTGAAAATCTACGATGAATCGTGCAATATTATCTAGGATGCCGAACATATCCGAATGCGATGTGACCTGATCTTCCGTGTAGGGAAGGTTGTCGATGCCGAACCCAACGAGTGGATAGTTCATTAAGAAATTTTCCACTACCACCATCCAATCTGACTAAGATGGTCGTGGTTTAGGGTGACAGTGTCCAAAAAGTACTGCTTACACGGGTACAGCAGTATCATTCAAAGTCGGCACCGAAGCGAAGTGCTTTGACGTCTATATTGCTATGCCTGATTTGTACAAATCCAGGCAACACGTGAATGTGTGTCGAACAAACGATAACCCCATCAACTGTAGGATAGTTGTTGACTAAATCGTAAGTTTTTTAAAGATATTTGCGTTTTGAATTATAAAACAAAAATAGTTGTTGGAACAAATATCATATTCTATTAATTTATTTTTAATCAGACGAAAACTTGTTCTTATCATTTACACTAAAAAGAAACATAGAGAAACTAATACAAAATGTTTAGCAAGTGCCATATATACACCCAAGTGCAGCCCACTAGACAAGGAAATTACTTGATATTAACATAACACAAATTGATTACTGTGACCATCAACTTTGGTTTTACTGGAAGTGATCTACCCACGAGCTTCTATAGATTCCACGGTGACTATGAACGAGGTTAGGATTTGCATAAAGGTCACTTCTTCACACTAAAGCTAGCATTATATATTTCCACGAACAATTTTAGCGTATAGTGACAAGTGTGATTTCGGTAGGTGTCTTCAAGTAAAACTAAACTTGATGTGTCCAATGATCAGTTTGTATTACTATGTGATATCATCAAATAATTTTCTCCAAATAAAACTAAAACGTAAATATCCGGACACAATTTCCGTTCATATATATATATATATATATATATATATATCACAAATAAATTCAATTTTGGACTGACAACTAAATAAATATATACACCTATCGAGACCAAAACACGTCTCTAGATATTGACTACTGTGTGTTACCTATTTCTACCATACACATCCCAATTCCAGTTCTAAATATACATGCTCAACATCTTATTATATGCGTACAATATCCAAACATTAATTACATTATCCAGGACAGCAAGGCCATTTAACCTGAGACAGATCTCATCCAAAAACTTATAAATAGTCAAATCAATTTTTAATCTAGTGTTCTTGTGTAATATTATTGTGTATTATTTGATTCACAAATTACATTTAAAATATACTAATCTTTGCTTCACGGAAGCATGAGCATATTCTTAATCTTGATCAATAAAAAAATGAATTAATTATAGTGAGTCAAAACTTAAAATACTAAGATCATGATTTTCGATGATGTGAATATTATCAAAATTTGAAGTTTTTTTTTTGCTTTTGATTTTCTTCACACAACCCCATGGTTTGACGGGCACTTTGTATAAGTTATACTGTTTTTGAATGAAATATATATATATATATATATATATATATATATACATACATACATGTAAATAAGATTTCATTTTTTTAGTATGAAAAATATTAAAAACTGAAATTATTAGGAAGAATGGATTAAAACCTATCACATTATCATTATTTTTTGTATCGTACTTATATTACTGAAAATTTATATTTTGATTAATTTTTTTAAAAACAATGCAAGATATATTGATGTATATGATAAATTTTTTTTAACAAATATGGAAATCTGAAGACAAAAAAAGATTTTTTTAAAAAAAATTTCTTACTTAATTAAATTTTTTGGAAATATCTTATGTATCTTTCAAAGATAATCATAGTTTAAATTTCAAGTTTTCTTTCAATTAAAATATTCACTTGATTAGAAGACTTTTCAATTTCAAAGATATTTTTTGTAGTAGATTCAAATTTTTATATATTTTAAAAAATCAGTATTTCTTGACTTCAGATTATATCCATGAAAGAGCATAAAACTGAGGAGAGATTTTAATTATTGAGAGTTGCATAGAATGTGATGAAGCTCATTACTATTCATAAAAAATAAAGAATGTAGAAAAAAAAATTTGGTTACAAGATGAATGAGCTTCATCATATTCTATGCAACTTTCAAAAAATAAAATGTATCATTAGTTGTTTGCTCTTTCATGGATATAATATTGGACTCTAGATATAATCTCACAATTATAATACAAAAAGATACTTAGAGACTGAAGGTGCCTATCATTCTCGGCTGTGAAAAATTGGGGTCTCCCATGATGAAGATTGGCAGCCAGGTAATTTACTTTTTTTCATATAAGTGGAAACAAAGCAATTACAAGAACTGAAATGCCGTAGGAGGGTTCCATCAGGTAAAATGGAACTTAATGGGTCTCATGGAGCATTCTGCGTTTTGATGGAGTCCAATCAAGTAATTTTCTCCGAAAGGAACTTGTCCTACCTATGTACAGAGGCATCCATCTTATTAACATAGATGATTGTCGTCCTTTGTTGCCGCGACTAATATATACAAAAATAAAGATCACTAGAGTTACAGTATAAGTGAATATATAGACCGTGTTTGTGTTCAAATGACAGAAGTGAATTATCTTTTTACTTTGAAATGTTTCAGTTGATTATACAAGTTTTGTGACTTCAGTATAAAGTTTCATGTGGTTTGAAAAACGATATACATAACTAACTTGTGCTATGAAGTGCTTTAACTTTGCTAAAACACAAGACATCAGACAAGTTCAAGTTACTAACAAAAAGATTGTCAAGTAAACAAACAAATTCTTTCAATACTTATGATACAATGTATACAATGGTACAAAATGTATGAAGTCCAAAATTTAATAATAAATCAAAATTTTAAATGAAAATATCATTTTTTGAAATTGGCCAAATACAGATTTCTGATATACATGATTTGATTCATCGGTGTTAATATTTTTAAATAAGTGTAAAGTTAAGATTTCAAACAACTGATTCTACAATTTATGCTTTCTTGATAACTTGATATAGATAGAACTTGTGAGAACTTTAAAGCTTCCACCTTTTCTGATTCCAAATTTCAAAACAACTTTTTAAAACTTTACTTTGATAAATTTTGAAAATGATTAAGATTTATAGTTTTATGAAAAAAATAAATTCGATATCGAATTGATAACTTGATGAATCAAATTTCATCATGCAACATTTTTTTATGATAAAATAGTTACATTATGGTTTATACATGAAAGTGTGAAATAAATTAATGTGTATGCATGTTAGCAATGCTTAAGAATAGTTTTAGTTCTTTGACTCTCATTATTTTATCCTTGATATACACAGTAGTAAACACTATAATTTTAACCTTGAAAAATGTAATATTGGTATTTAAAGGTAAACAAATAAAATCTTCATAAAAAATTAGTAAATAGATTTCTAATTCTCATGAACTAAATTTATTCATTATAATTAGATCAAAGTAAGATTTTTTTTCAAATATCTAGCAATAATAAAAATGTGGTAGGTAGTTTTTTCAAATTTTTTTTTGAAACGAGGAAGTTTGAGAAGTAGAAGACTAGCAACTACAAAATTTTAGGATAGGAATAGTTAGAAGTAGAGTAAAAAGTAGATTCGGGAGTAGAAGCTAAGTTAGGAGTAGTGGAATTCATTATGATACCTCTCTGTCTGAGTTAGTGTTTTTACTTGTAGGCAGTGAAGTTGAATTAGATAAGTTATGATCCACTAGAGTAGATTATTCATAACTTTCCAATTAGTGAGAATTTGCCTTTTACAGGATCTCAATAGATAAATTTCGGCGTGCTTAATCCAACGAGCCCAAGATTACTAGAAACGGGTGAGTGAACCCCGAGTTACGGATGTATGCAATGGAGGACATGTTTCGGCGAAGGCACAGAACCGCATTCGGCGAAGAGCCTTTGGACTTCGGCGATAGCACCTTCGCACGAGTTCAAAATGCGATTAGGGCGTCAAAGTACATTGGCAAAAACAGGAGTTCGGCACTGACATTTCGCAAGAGTGCATATGCAAATTGGGAGCTCAGTGAGAATCGCTAGTGGGAAATTGAAAACGCAGCAATGAAGCGTTTTTGGACACTTTGATTGTCAGCGTTGAAGGTGTCGGAAGTTGGATTACGAGCGGATCGGCAGAAATTGATAGCCGCTAAGCTCAATTTCTTACTGTGGGATTGGAATTGAGTTTCCGCAGCAATCGTGAAGGGGTGACATGAAGGACGCGCGCCAGACGCTGAAGAACTTCGCGGCAACCCGGTGAGCTGGACAATTGAACATTGCGCTCAAGTATTGGGGTCGTGCAAGGGAGAAGATGACGATTACACTTATGACAGCGAGAGCTTGAAGATGACACATGCGGAAGAAAAGATCTTTGCGCAACTTTTCAAGACACCTTGTTCGCGCAAGAATGGATGGCAGACGACGGACAACCGCGATCGGATGAAACGGAATGTGGCGATGGCGTTGGTGTAGATTTTGCGACCATCAAGAACGACTTACATGATGACATGACAAGTCGAATTTGTGGAGCACGCGGTGTAAGGGAAGCCGATCCACTGAGCTCGCATTCTCTGGAGTACTACGCGCAAGAACATCGA